ATTGTTATAACCATTTTAATTCGTCAGGTGTTTTCCGCTAAAAATCCCCCAACCACAACTCGTGTATTAGGCCAAGTGGCCAACCTTTTTATCACCTTTACCCGAACCCGACCCGACTTGACTCGGACCCAACGAAATATATACACACATCTCCAGATGTAAAAGATACGTATAGTACACTGCAGGATTATAAAATTTGTTAGGCTCAGGAGAATTGACCTTTTGAATATACCCAGAAAACCATACGGTTTAAAATAAAAATATTTTCATTATAAAGTTAGCTTTTGCGTATTTGTATTCTCGGTATGTTCATAACCGTAGAAGCAACAATAATTTTCCAAAATAAATAAAAAAGCTTCCTTTTTTGTTTTTTGTTCGATTCTCCGCAGATATGCAATCGAGATTCGGATTTAAGGTTTTGGTTTGATTAGGGTCTTTATCAATTTCTTGGTGTGATTATGGGAGCGAATATCTCAGGTGGGTTGCCGGAATTTGATCGGAACGGTGAAGGTTACTCGAGGAAATCCAGATTGGTTGATTTACCGGAGAATTGTGTTGCGTTGATTATGATGCGGCTTGATCCACCGGAGATTTGCCGGCTTGCTCGTCTCAACAGGGTATTCCGACGAGCTTCCTCTGCAGATTTCATTTGGGAATCGAAGTTGCCTTCGAATCATCGGGTGATTGCAGAGAAGGTGTTCGATGAAATTACTCTGAGGAAAATGATTAAGAAAGATCTTTATGCGAAGCTTACAAGGCCCAATCTATTCGATGGTGGTATAAAGGTTGGAAATTTTGTTCTCGTTGCATCTCTATCTCTCAAAATCTTTTGAGAAAAATCTCAGTTTCTTATTTCAAATTCTTGAGCAGGAATTGTGGATAGATAAGAACACGGGTCGTCTTTGTGTATCCATTTCTTCGAAGGCACTAAGGATTACTGGTATTGATGATCGGAGATACTGGAGTCATATACCAACCGATGAATCCAGGTAATTCCACCTTAACCATCAAAGGTTGTGCTTTGTTTGGTATTGATGTTATATAACTATTCAGTTTGGTATTGGATACTTTGTATGTTAATTTAAATGAGCTAGTGTGTATATATGTACAGGTTCCATTCAGTTGCATATGTTCAACAAATATGGTGGTTTGAAGTAGGAGGAGAGTTTGAGATCCAATTTCCATCTGGAGCATACAGTCTATTCTTCCGTATCCAGCTCGGTAAAACATCGAAGAGGCTCGGACGGAGAATCTGCAACTCGGAACACATTCACGGATGGGACATTAAACCGGTGAGGTTTCAGCTTGCAACTTCAGACAACCAACAAGCTGTTTCACTGTGTTATCTAGACAACAACAACCTTGGAAACTGGAGTCACTATCACGTCGGAGATTTCAAAGTGGTAAATCCAGATATATCAACAGGAATCAAATTCTCGATGACTCAGATCGATTGCACTCATACGAAAGGTGGGTTATGCATAGACTCTGTTCTTATATTACCCAAAGAAAGTGCAAAAGAAACCATTGGATCAGACTAGTTTTGTAGATATAGAGTGAGATTGTATATGGTGAGAGAATCTTTTTCTGTGAAACATTCACTGTACTGTTTTTTCTTGATCTGGAATGTTGCATTGTACACATGGCTGTATTGTCTGTAGTCACAGTGATTGTAAATACAATTTTTTCTTCTCAATTAAGAGATTATAACACTTCCTGTTTATGCCGAAGATTATAACATTGAACATACAGAACAGAGTTTCAAATGAAAAACTAACACAAATATCTAATCAAGAATCTTGAGGTAGTATGAAACTGAATCTTATTAAAAGGTTATCAATATCCCTGCATAGAAGCATTAGAGCAGTAAATTTATTCAAAGGAGCAACAGAGACTCCTGAGACTACCTGAACACAGCAGGTTTACAAATGAATAGGAAACAATTATTTTGAAGGCCTAGGGGAATAAGCTTCTTCCTGCTTCAAGGTGTTTTGAACTTGGGGCGCGATGGAAGCAACTGTATGGTTAAAGAAGAAAAAATGGAGAATTTTTATACAAAAAATGTGAACTTGGATGTGGTTTTGTGAAAAGGAAGAGAGTTTACCTGATAACAAGAGATAAGCGAGGTGGTAAACCCGAAAGCGCCAGTGACACGAGGAGTAACCGTCTTTGGAACTAATTGAAGAAGACCAATGGCCACAACAATGTCCATACTTGATTTAATCAAAGCTAGCGTTCTCTCATTTGATTTCTGAAGCTTAGCATGATACAGGCCATCCTACGGTTTTTGAAATGGAATGAGTTTTTATAAAGATAGAAGAATAAAGATGAGAGCGTATCAGAGGAGAGTTATTTACTTTATGTTTTTCATCATCTTTGAGTTCCTTTTCCATCTTCTTCATAGATGCAGAGAGCCTTCCAAGCTCACCAATCTGATACGCACGGGAAAGATCAAGATCGGTATGTATGTTTCTACGCGGGCTAAACAAAATGTAGAGAAAGAGGAGATTAGTAAAACCTCGACTGCTGACGTACAAACAGATGATCCCAGCCAGCAGAAAAGCGATATACGTCCAAGCAATTCAGTTCGTTCTTTGTTCTGCGATGACGATGAGATTCAACAAGAATGTTAAGTCACTTAGCAGAGGAAATGAAACATGAAAACTTCAATAGACCAATATGGATGATTTCCTTAAACTTGTCTCACCTTATATATGCCGGATCTACCAAGCCAGACGATTTGATCAAGAAACAAGAAGGTAGACAAGAGTGCATTCTTCGACTGAAACGATCAACAAACAACAAAAACAGAAATCAAAGATTGAATCAAAACAAGAACTGAACAAAATGTTGTAAGCAGTCAAACATTTTCTTTCGCACCTTCCCAAGTAAGACGAGAGGAAGCGGAGTCCCTTTAGGCACGGGGCTGATAAGACCGTGAAAATCATTGACAAACTGCACATTGAAGCCATTTTCTATAATCAGATAATCAAAACAGTAACAATGAAGCCAATTCCAATTCCAAATCCAAAACAACGGTAGTAATCGAAAACCTTGAAAAGACGGAAAACTTTCCTCGCCAAGCTGGTGTTTTTGTCGACAGTTTGAGCAGTACCAGGTTGTCCACTACTCAAGAATTTGGAACCATATTGTATAGCTCTGCATATCTTATCTCTAGCTTCAGCTTTGTTCAAGTAGAGGACAATAAGAGCAAGCTCGGCTCTAGATAAATCTAATGTAGTCATGTTCTCTCTGCCAAAAAAAAACCAAATGTCAAAATTCCACACTTAAAGTTGTTTAGATGAAATGTGTTTTGAGATTCAGATTCTCGTGATGGATCTAACAAAATTTTGCAAGGCTACGTTTGATTGGTGAGAAGCATAGGACAAAAAATGTAGGCTTTATCAAATTCAAGCAAGAAACTTCCATCACCAACCACAAAAGAAGACTAAACACAACAACGCAATTTAAGCAAAGCTAAGAAATGAGAACATGTGAAACTTTAAAACATTCGAACATATTCCATTACAAAATTCCAGAAATTTGGGATTTTTGTTTACCTTGATGATGATCTCAATTAAGAGCTGAGATATCAAATTTTCGAGAAAAGGGATCCAAGATTCAGTTTATACAATTAGCTGTTCTTACTTATAATAATGTCATTTTGTTCGTCGTTTTGTATCATTCTGATATTACGATAAAGGCGTGTTTGGTCTTCTTCCTTTATAAAAACAAATAAAACGCAACGTTTTAATTTCTGACAACACCACACTCCACTCCTTGTGCACTTGATTCTATCCCACATTATCTACACGCGCGTGCGACACACGTGGAACACTTATCGAGGCAAGAGAGATAGGTCAAAGTTAATGGGCCAGGCCTTAAAAAGCCTTACTGTAATTTTTTTTTTTTTTTTAAGTTGCTTCTAATTTCGTAGACATGACAAGGATTGGAAAATAGCCTTGTGTCCAAACACTTCTAAAATAAGTTTGGTTTTTCTTTGCTTCGCTGCTTCTCTCCACCAAGAAAATTTGCTTGTACGTTATCTTAGTGTGTTGGTATTGGATACGGTTTCTGGATTTCTCTCATGTCAAAAAGATAAAAAAAAGAAAAATTGATTCAGTCAAGTTAAAAGCTCATTCAAG